GCTTCCAGTTCATTTGGACAATGTAGATGATGGAGCAGGTGCAGGAGATCAAGGCGCAGATGATCATCCCCACCCAGAGGCCTGAGGGAGGAAAGAAGGAAGTGTTAAGCCGTGGAAACTGGGCCTCTCCCCTAGGGAGAGCAGGATTCGCCCTCCGAGCGGAATTGAGGACAGAATCCTGCAGCAAGCAGATCTTGTGACGTTTGCTTATCTGCAAACTCAACAAATAGCAACCATTAAGATTAAAAAGAGAAAGCTTACTTTACATGAAGTCAGTCCTTCCATAGATAGAGCAGGAGGAAAGGGTCTTAACTTAGACACGGAAGCCCCCCCCCCCAAGCTAACTTCCAAGTATGGAAAAAGTTTCTCCTTGCAGTTCTGATTTTTTTCCCTAACAACAAGGAAGAAGGGAGCTTGAAGGAAGAGGAAGGAGAGTACCAGTCTGCCCATAGATCTAGAGAAGATAAGAGGCGAATCCCTGGCACCTATCAGTCCAATTTTGGCCACAAAAAGCAGCACGACGCCCACGGGTAAACCGATGATGTAGTAGCCGATGGCGTTGAAGATGGCCCCCAGCTTTTGCTTCCCCGTGCCCCGCAAGACACCGCTGGTGGTGGCCTGTGGAAGAGAGAAGAGGGAGTCATTACGAGGGGGGGCACCTGGTTTGACGCAAATCTCTTCTGACAGCACGTGGTTCCATTTCTGGGGGAGCTTGGCCAGAACGAAATGTGCCCCCAAGCTTTTCAGACGGTCACCAAGAGAGAATGTAAATATTGGCATGGCCGGGTGGGAGGAACTTGGGACATGGTCGGTCAAAGTCCCTAAATTTCCCAACATCTGAAACCAACTTCGATTCTGGGCCCCATGCTCAGAAAATCTTTCCTGAATGCCACTATTTCAGGCTGAAAGTGGGGGTGAAGCCAGATCTAAAACATCTGTTGTTTAGTCATTAAGTCATGTCCGACTCGTTGTGACCCCATGGACTCAGAGGAGTTATATCAAGGAAGGTTCTGGAAGCCGAAGTGAATCTCCAGTCTGTTTGGGGGGGTGTCACGGAATGCGCACAGACATCCCTCAAACTCATCACGATCCTGTCGCCTTGCCCTTAGTGAGAGGACAGCCATCAAAAGCAAAGTAAGCACACACACACCCAAAAAAGCTGTTTTTGAGGGGGGGCCGTTGTGATGCTCCCCCATGCAAAAGAAAAATCCCCGGATTTAATTTCTCCACCCTTTGAAGCCTCCAGAGAGAACATTTCTAGTGGGAAAGGGGGTTAACGGAGCCTTGGGGGGGGAATCCTAAAATAAAATACAGTAAATGTAAAAGCAGAACTGGGCGTGCAAATCACCTCCATGTCTGATTTTCTAAATTCTTATTTTATTTGGAGGGGGCATCTGGGGGTCATTTCTAGGTTAGAACAAAGTGACAGCTATATTCATTCATATTTTGCTAATAGGGTTGCCCCCTTGTTTAATCAGGTCTCTCGCCACCCCTTCCGGCCTTCAGGAGATCCAGTTACTAGGAGGTCACTGGGAAAATTCAGTGGTGCGTGAGTTAGCTCCCGAGTTCGAGGGGTTCACATTGGGAAGGAGGTCTGGCTTCCGGAGTGGATTCCCCCATAATACCCCCTCCCCGTAGGCGGGACAGAGAGGTCAGAGCCAAACCACGGAGAAAGCCCATCGTGATTTCCATCTTTCCACCGACGGATTGAAAAGTGCGTTGTAGTTGAATGGGCAACACTCAGGTGTACTGCTCCCCGTAGGCGGGACAGAGAGGTCAGAGCCAAACCACGGAGAAAGCCCATCGTGATTTCCATCTTTCCACCGACGGATTGAAAAGTGCGTTGTAGTTGAATGGGCAACACTCAGGTGTACTGCCGAGCTTAGCTATTGCAAAGGACCAGAAGAGGCCTCATTTGCTTCACTAATGGGACGGCCGATGTTTCTCCCCCCCCCCCGCGCCCTTTCTCTTTCTGTCCGAAGGATTTAGGAATGACCCAAAAGCTTGCTCGGGGGGAGGGGGGTCCCTTCACTCACTTGTCACTGGTAAATACATAAGCCAGAACATCTTTCGTCGGGGTCAAGACCATGCTCATCAAAAGGAAAAAAAACACTGGAGAATTAAAAGAGAGAGAGAGAGATGGGTTGAAGCAGATAAAGGAACGGGGGAACCAGATGTTTTTACAAGGGGGAAATGTCCAGGAACTTCCCTGGTGGGCCAGCTCTATGGGGAAAGAAGCAGGACGGCACAGTGGTTAGAGAGCGGGGCCTAAATTTCCCACCGAGCCATGAAATTCGCTGGATAACTAATGAGCCAAGATCTTGAGAGTCTCAGGCTAATTTACTAAAAATATTGAGGTCCACAAGCCCCCTACCCACCCAAAAAAATACAGAATTTTTAAACTTTTATTTTGGTGCCACCTCCCAGTATTTGCTGACAGAGAGAACAGCCTTACTTTCCACAATGGTAGGGCTGGCCCACTTCTTTCTTTCTTTCTTTCTTTCTTTCTTTCTTTCTTTCTTTCTTTCTTTCTGATGTTGTGATGCTTTGCTTTTTGCTTGCCCCAAGAGAAAACAAGAGGCTTACCTGTACACAGCATGGAGACCACTGATGAATTTCTGGCTTCTTCTATGTTTCCGGCTCCCAAAGCGTTCCCAACCTGGACGCTGA